CACACACACACACACACTAACACACAAGAATACTTATCTTATATACACACACAGACATAGACGCATATTATTATACTCGTACATTAATACATAAATGCATGAATATTACACAATATCACAAAAAGCTAAAACAGCACCTGGACATGGATGGCTGGTGCCTCTATAAATAAGTAAGTAAGTAAGTTAGTTCATTCAGTGTTTAAGGCCATTGGCCCAAATCACTTCACATAAATAACTCATTTGATGAGTGAAGTTTTCATTATGAATAAATACAGGTTGTGCACATATCTCTTATCATGGGTCAAACATTGCATATTTCTGCCACTGGGCTGAGTCAGGCTGGCAGGGATTAACAATTTCTTTTGATGGACAAAGTGAGAACAAAAGAAAATAAAGTGAAATTCATCTTCAATTTCATGAAAGTTACACCTCTATAAATAAATTATTGATGATGGACAATATTACAAACCCTGACAATTCAAACACCGTCATCGCTGGTCACCACCGTGCAGCGGCATGTGACTTACCCACGGGTACTTGGACTGCAACATGGCGATGGTCATGCTGTTGTAGCTGCTGGACATGTCCTTCTTCTCCACGTCGTCTCTCATCAGCTGTGGGGGGCACGGGAAACATTGTGTGAGGAAAGAGAAGCACAAGCAGCATCCACACAAAAATAACTATTTAGAGCAGCGCTTGTTAACCATTTTTGCCACGTTTTACACTTACAGTACCGTCAGTGACTTTAGGCCGTAGTACGCGCTCATTATCAACCGGGCACACTAAACAAAATTAAACAACGAATAGATTCATAGATGCGCTGCACTGAAGTAAATATCAAAGGAGGTCACTCTATATGATAGCTGAAAGGTTGATGAACTTCTATGAATTTTTAAAGCGTGTTTTTAGCGTTGCCAAGGTTTCTCTAATTGAAAAAAAAATTGTACTGAGAAAAAGAGTACGGAAAAGTTACATGGAGCCAATCCTATTATGAAGGTGTGAAGCATGGACAATCAATAGATAGCTGGAAAGAACAATAGAGCCGACAGATTTGTGGTTCATACGACGCATGTTGTGTATCCCATGGGAGCTAAAAAAACAAATAAAGAAGTTTTGGTTGAGGCAAATTACAGATGACAGCTTATGACATTTATACGAAAGTGACAGGCAACGTTCATTGGACACACAATGCGGAAAAAATAATTGAAATAAAGAAAAATTGGAGAAAAATGCAACTACAGACAAGTTTGATGGAAGAAGAGGAAGAGGTAGACAGAGTGAAAAGATACTGGACAAGTTGACAACTCGGCTGGGAATAGCAAGAACGACAGAGATCCTCGCTACAACGCAAGACAGAGTGAAGTGGAGGTCCATGATCGCCCACGCCAGTCGCCGAGGCACTGGATGACGATGAAAGTGCACTGAGCATGCTGTAGAGTATATCAATGGGGAATTATATAAAAGGTCACTTTTAAGGACAAGTGAGTGAACCCAGATTTTGGGGGTTTCCAGAAATCTTGACCTACACCAAAAGTGGGAAGTGCCTACCTACAGGAGAATTTTGGTTTTATTGGTGTGTATATTTGTTGGTTATAGAGAAAACTCAACTCGTCTTTTAAAGAAACTGAACCAGGGGCAAAAACTTTACCTTCGATTTTCTCAAAACAGCATTTTGCGGGATAGCCCCCTATGCTTAAAAGTGACCAAATAGAATTATGATTATGACTATTAAGTAAAAGTTACCAAGACATCAACTAACCCGAGCAATGTGAATCTCCAGGTCGATAATCGCAGCCACAT